CAAATATCCTGTGGCATACTGGTGTGACCAGTGCAGGGCGAAGAGTAGAAACAGTGCTAATGAAAGCACACAGGAAGGGCAGAAATGGAGTATTTGTAATTTCTCTCACATAGGTAGGTTTCTCTCATCTAATTTCTCTAGTTTCATCTAATTTCATCTCTAATTTCATCTTCTTAATTTCTCTCATCTATAGGTGTGTGCCTGTGCATTTCTCTCAGCCCAAGACTGTAAATTCCTGTCTGTTTACAAGTAAGGGATTGTTCACTGGCAGGCAAGATGCAGGGCACATTCCTACGACCAAATAAAAATGAACTTATAGGTCCACAATACATTTTTGTTCTATTCTTAACCTTAAGGCTTGATAACCTTCCCATACACCTGGGCAATGTTTTTGTCGAACAGAAGAAACATCCAGATGCCTTTTACTTTACATGGGAGAAGCACAGAGATATAGCAATTCTGTCTGTTCTGGCAAAACTATTCAGATATATTGTGGAAAGTGCAGTGCCCAGGACAGCTACCAACATACTGAAATAGAACTTCATTAACTTTTGTAAGAATAAGAATTACATTACCCCCAATTAAGGTAACAGGTAGAGATTACCTCTTGGTTTACTAATGAAGTATTTATTATTAATAAAAGCATACTTATTTACTTCTGACTAATGACAAATAGAACCAGTATTACAGACTGTATGCTTGGAGATAAGACAGTTTTACAAAACAAGCTAAGACTTTGCAACATAGCCCTTGAAAAATGGATGTGCTTCAGTAGCAAGTTGGAAATAGGAGGGTTTACTCTCTTTTCTATGAAATATTTTTATCATAGAATGAAGTTTGCTGTAATTTTTCTGTTAAAAATATTTTTTCCATAACACAGGAAAAAAAGGGATGGGAGAGAGACTTACAATGCCAAGTTTGTTAGAAAGGGAGGTTACTAGCACACATGTGTGCATGTCTTATCTATAACATTCAGGAAGTAGCTGAATCAAACAATGTATCATTGCTTCACTAAATCGTTATATCATTAATCCTCCTCATTTTGATAACAATTTATAACTGCAACAAATAACTGCAAATAACAAATAACCGCAAATAACAAATAACCATTTATAACTGCACAGCTACAGGTTGGGCAGAGAAGAGATTCAGAGCAGCCCTGCGGAGAAGGACTTGGGGGTGTTGGTTGATGAGAAAATGAACATGAGCGGGCTTCAGTGTGCCCTTGCAGCCCAGAAAGCAACCGTATCCTGGGCTGCATCAAAAGGAGCGTGACCAGCAGGTCGAAGGAGGTGATCCTGCCCCTCTACTCTGCTCTTGTGAGACCTCACCTGGAGTATTGTGTGCAGTTCTGGTGTCCTCAACATAAAAAGGACATGGAACTGTTGGAACAAGTCCAGAGGAGGCCACGAGGATGATCAGGGGACTGGAGCACCTCCTGTATGAAGATAGGCTGAGGAAGTTGGGGCTGTTCAGCCTGGAGAAGAGAAGGCTGCATGGAGACCTCATAGCAGCCTTCCAGTGTCTGAAGGGGGCCTATAGGGATGCTGGGGAGGGACAATTCATTAGGGACTGTCGTGATAGGACAAGGGGTAACAGGTTCAAACTTAAACAGGGGAAGTTTAGATTGGATATAAGGAGGAAATTCTTCCCTGTTAGGGTGGTGAGACACTGGAATGGGTTGCCCAGGGAAGTTGTGAATGCTCCATCCCTGGCAGTGTTCAAGACCAGGTTGGATGAGGCCTTGGGTGAGATGGTTTAGTGTGAGGTGTCCCTGCGCATGGCAGGGAGGTTGGAACTGGATGATCTTAAGGTCCTTTCCAACCCTAACTATTCTATGATTTTATGATTCTATTCTAAATGTTCACACCTCACCCTTCTCCCAGCAGCTCTTCTAACATGGCGCAACCAAAGAAATTGCAGCCAAAGTAAATATGTTCTAAGCAGTTTTACCAGGGGTATTACACAGCATTTCAAAAGAGCCTGATGTAAGCAACAAGTAGCATAGACAAAAACCTGAAAGATAACTTGAAAAGCTGAAAGATAACTTCAAAATCTGCTGCCTGATTTGAATTTATTTCAATTCTGCTGCACAGAAAACGTGTCTCAGGCACTAGTAGTGGTACCACCCAGCATCTCTTCTATTCTCTTTAGCGTAGGGCAATACTGAGTCAAACAGTATGTGTGTATAACCTGGCACAGCTCCAAAGGAGATGAGCCAACGCATGTCAGCACACAATTTGGCTCTGTACATGCAAGTAAGAATGAAATGCACAGTAAGCCCTAATCCTCTTTGGGATAGGACTCAGATTCATTCTTTGTTTCTGCACCTTGTTGGAGAATTGTTCCAGCTGCTCATCAAAGCGCCATAGCCAAGCCTTTGACAACAGTAACATCCTCCAGTCTATGCCCAGGGCCAAGCCCTTTAAAAGGTCATTGATTTCCTTATGTGAAATGACATAATATCAATCCCCCTTCCTTGGAAAGAAGAGGTGGAGGATATTGCTTTGTTTTACTAGAATACAGGGGAGGATATTAAAAAGTAAGATATTGCTACCTGATGCTGAAATTAATACCTATTAAAGCTCTTCAAGTGGTAACTCCAGGTGCAAAGTTTTCTATTCATCCGCAGGGCCAACGCAGCATTAGGAACCTTTCTTTTGCATCAAGCAGTACGACATGGATAATGGCTTAATTCCCCTGTTTGTAAGCATGACAATGTCAACACTAACATACTCTGACAATTTGGGCATGCATGTGCATGCCTGTATATATGCTATAAATCCACACATTAGCAAGAAAAATAATCTGGGATCAAAAGCAACACAGCTCTGATCTAACAAAACAAACAAGCACCTGCCTAACTGAAAAGAACCCTCCCAACACAAGCTGGGAGTTTTGGTTATGTGTGTCCATTAATCTGCTGTACTGACTGGCACCCTACAAAGGCAGTCCTGCTGGATTATACTTTCGATTGTTATCCTACCACAGTACACATCCTATTTTCTCCAAAGCAAAGGCACATACATATATTACTGTACATATGATTTTAAAAGCTGTTGGTGATGTGGAACTTATAGGTATGATTAATGAAATACTAGAAAGAACTTTCTAATCATGGAACTAACATACTGAGAGGCTCACAGTTGGCTGAGAAAGCACGAGTGTGTGAAGCTTCTTCTCGTGAAGTGCTCTCTAAACGCAACATAGGTTAAGACTTAGGGCCTACAAAATTGCGATGACAAAAGGTGATACTCAAATTCCAAACAGTATTTGCACAAATTTCCAAGGTTTCATTTGAAAAGAAGTTAAAATGATGTCTTAGAAATGGCATACAAGATGCACTTTGACAAAACAGATCTTTAATCTAGAAAGAAAGGAGTTTTTCCAAAGCAACTTGGATGGGCTTCCACTGATGTTTGCTGAGACCTTAAAAAAGGCTGTCTATATTTTCCAGTGGTGGAATAATGCTTTTTGGACAGATCACTATATTATTAGGTTCACACATTATTCTAAAGAATATCAGCTTTAATTTCTCATAAGCGCATGCAGAGGCTGGTTAGGGATCAGGTTCTTAGCAGCAGAATGAAATATTGGAGATGGTTAGAGACCAAATTCCTTAAAGCAAGAATGACAGCTCCAAGTGATGTCTTCACTGCTTCCCTAGGAGCTGAAAGCAGTACACTCCTCAAACTGGAATGTCCTCTGAAACGCTGTGGGAAGTGACACAAGCCAGTAGGGCTGCACGCATATGGGTGGAGAGGCTGTGAGAGTATTTGGATTTGGGTAGAGGTAGGTCATCCTGCAAGATGTGGTGCAAACCTAAGTTTGCATGGGATAGGGCACTGAACGAACTAAGGGATTGTTGAGAAAAGACTGGTATAACAATGTGGCCTAGCATATTCAGATTTGTAGAAGTACAATGTGTTGGGGTATGCTACAGGCTAATCTATAAATAATTACTTCTGTAAAAACACTCAGGTTCAGATGATCTTTAATTCTAGAATGATCTTCAGAAATTGCTTCTTGCCCAAATTATGAATAGATATTAATTATAACACCTTATAATTATAATGTGCTTTTCGTTCCAACAGATCCTTAGGCCTTTTATAGCATATGCATAATTCATTTTTCCTCACCTCTGGGCTGAACACAACACTTAATAAAGAGAAGGGAATGTATTAGCTATTAACAAAGGTGATCAGACCTCTTTTCTCATTCCTTACCACTTCTCTAGCTTCTTAACCTCTGTTGCAATGACTGCCTGGTGGCACAGTGCAGATGGAAAGGGGAATTGCAATGGGGGAATAAGGGAAATGAACGAGCTCTTGTCATCAAAGCCCATCACAATGTCTCTGACAGTAATTTACAGCATTTACTAAATAAAAGTTGAAAAGCATGAGTATTTTAGAAGGTAATTACATGATTGCAAAGTTACTGTGTGATTTCTATACCAAAACTGTACTCAAAAGAATATTTGGGATGATGCTCTTGATATCTGCACCTTTGGAATAGCCCCCTGGTAACGGGGTACCCATTTCAAAGTAATGCCACATTAACATAATTCCACATTAATGTATGGCCATATTAAAGCAATAATGTAATTAATGTATGGTTGCACTGAACCTGGTAGAGTCAGGAAATATGGACTATCGTTTTGTAAGTATGTTTATACTATTTTGGCTATAGCAACAATAACAGTAAAGCCTTTATGACAGCACACTGACATTCAGCACGTCAAAAAGACAGCAATGAGAGTAAGACTGGATTTTGAAATTCAGGTCCAACCTGATGACCTAAATCATGCACAATAACAATTATAGTATTATGCTATTAATTTTTTCCCATTAGAAATCACTCATAGTATTGAACAGTTAATCCTTCTGCCTGGACAGAAGTATTATCTGGGAACTGACAGCAAAGCAAGCATTCAAAGGAAGCATTCTGACTCTGAGGTGTGAACAGCTCTGCCTCTAAATATTCCCAACTTCAATACTCACTATTATGCTTGAAGATTCTAATAGTAGCACCTGAAAGCCTCGCACCAAGAACGAGAGAAGTGTGGTTCAACTCATCACTTAAAATGAGGCAGCCCTGTGGAGAAGGAGTACAATAAGCATCTGCATGAACTAGGAGGCTGTTGACAGGCGTGCACAGCATGCACCCATGTCTGCAATATAGCATTGCACCAATTAAATTGTAAGTATAAAACATTAACAAGATTTTCTGACACTTTTCTGAAGTTGCCAGGATGCATTGTAAAGGCAGGCAGAAAACGTAGGATCAGATTCTCACGTGGTGCAAAGGGGACAAATATTCCCTGCAACTGGAAAGTAGTGAATAACCCTAGCAGAGTTTGACTGGTTTATAATAAAACCAAGAGATGTTGCTTCCTCCACCACCTATCTACAGTCTTTTTTGTGTTGCAAGGAAAACGCAGTCACCACCCCATATATAAAGACTGCATGACAGTACTTGAAGGAGGAGTAATACTGAGGTTGAACTGACATCAGCACTTTGGGCTGCAGGGATGAGATCAGGACAGACAGATGCCTCATAAATCCCACCTCCATTAAGACGTGAGTGGAGCCTAGGCACCAGGCAGTCTTCCTCTGTTAAATGCATATACAGTTCACCTGTAGCATATTTTTCATTAATTAACCCACTTGAAAACTCATTTTGTTTTTAGACACTAAAATAGGAATGCAGAATAAATAGATTTGTATATTATGTTAATAGGAGACGGGATTCACAGTTGAAATTCAAGATGGAACCCTAATTTAGCTCAGCTTTCTATTGCACATCTTGTGGTGTGGTTTCATTACTCAAAGGTCAATACAACATTAAGTAAATACTTGTGTTGGAAACACAGATTATTCCTAGGTTGAGAGATACACAAATCTACTTAAAGACTGGTATTCAGGACTATCACTAAGAGTACACACGTCTTGACAAGAAAATGCAGCTGCAAGCCTTAATTACAGATAAAAAATTAGGAATAAGTCTCCTCAACACAGGCAATTACATATACATAAAAAATTATATAATATATCATAATACTATAGAATATTAATACATACTAAATTGTTACAGTTATATTCTATATAATGCATATAGTCATACCTTTATTTGTGCCAGATATATCTAAGTATCCCACCTCTGACAGAGGCCTGAGTCTCAATATGAGGCCAACTAAGTGAGGCAAAATTGGTTTATAGCTAAGCGAGCGACAAGTATCTTATGCTGTGATGTATGTCTGCAGTTTTATACATTTACCTTTATTAATTCTCTGTATCTGTTCCCCTTGAAACTGCTGGACAACTTCTCCAGCACCATTGCAGATCTAAATTCATGTTCTGAGCAGCTGAAACAATTCTCCCTACTCAACCCTTGTCTACATGTACTTTAGAAATCTCTTGCAAAAGCTGGATTCACCTTCAATAATGAGTGAAGAAGTGACTTCACCTCTATGGCAATGCTTCTGAAGCACACAGAGTGAGTTCATTCTGTCTCAACCAAGAGAGAGAAATTGTTTCTCACTTGCATGACACACTTCATACTGTTTCACACTTGTGTGAACTGAAGAGGAGCTTATCCACTTTCCTGGCTGACAGCAGGGTGTATTTTCTTGTTAAGTCAGGAGTTGTGATTGACACAGTAACGGATTTTCATGCCTTGGTGTTAGATACCCCAAACTGGAGATGAAGTCCCTTCAACATCAATTAAGAACCCAACTTTTGTCATACAGTCACAACATAGGAGAGCACCTCTCCTGTGAAGACAGGCTGAGAGAGCCTGGAGAAAGCTCTGGAGAGACCTTATAACAGTCTTCCAGTACCTTAAGGAGGTCTACAAGAAATCTGGATAGGGACTTTTTGCAAAGACATGTAGTAACAGAACAAGGGGGAATGGCTGTCTACTGACAGGGGAGAAATTTAGATTAGGTATTAGGAAGAATTCTTCCCTGTGAGGGTGCTGAGGCGCTGGCACAGGGTGCCCAGAGAAGCTGTGGCTGCCCCATCCCTGGCAGTGTTCAAGGCCAGGTTGGACAAGGCTTGGAGCAACCTGCTCTAGTGAGAGGTGTCCCTGTCCATAGCAGACGGCTGGAAGTGAATGAGCTTTAAGGCCCCTTCCAAGCCAAACCAAACCATTCTGTAGTTCTAGAATTCGACTTAAGACTTGCATTTGCTGCCACCTCTCTTTGCAAGGCTGGCTGGAGACATGTTCACCAGGAATGCTAAATACTGTGCTTTCTGTTTTCTGAAAGTCTTGTAAAGAATATCTTGATCCTCATCTTTCACCACAGCTAACTGTGTAGTATCTCTGCAAGTAGCTCAAATGCTTCATGGGATGAGACATGGGATGCAACATTTGCTTACTTTTTAGGGAGAAGCAACTTCACTAAGAGAAGATAAACAACCATATCACTCATCCTTAAATAGATGTTAGGTATGTCTGATAGGAACACCCAGAACTAAAAAAAATGATGAAGGAGCATATTTATGTTCACAAGGTCATCAGCCTGATGACTCATGCACTCCTGATAACAAGCTTTGTTCCTCGATCAAGCATTTCCACTTAATGCATGCCTGGAATACTGCAACAGTTGTTACAACAATTAATAAACTATTGTTCTATGCGTTCCTTAAGGAAGTACTCACCTTTCCAACAAGGGCTGGAATATTCATTGAGTTAGTTGCGAAGCCCATCCCAAACACCATAGCGTCTTCCACACCAAGGAACTTGGCCACAAGTTTCTCTAGTTCTACATGTTTGTCTAGGGTGCCTGCAGAAATAAGGACAGGGAATCATAAAGCTCATTAAGCTGTGAAAGTTATTAATTCTAAAGACATAAAACATACAAAAGAACCAGCTTGAAATATGCCATTAAGCTATATGACATTAAGTTCCAATGAAGGTTTTCCATTTGTAACTTGTGGTTAACGTGGTATAATGCAAGAAAAAACAAGGATGCAAACCAGCTATAACTAATGCTACCAAATACTGTTGCTGTGAAGGTAGCAAAGCAGTTACCTTGGGAAAAAGTTTCCTTTATTCTGAGGAGTAATGTTTTGCCTTTTTCTCACCCTTGCAATGAGGACAAAAATACCTTCCTTTTTATAGGGAACATGGGACAAACATCTTGGGTATTCTTGAGTTCTCTCTGGATGTGAAATCCAAACCTGATGACAACAAAATTTTTCCATTGCTTCTTGGGTACCAAGATATATATATACAAGATCATAGAATCACAGACTGTTTTGAGTTGAAAGGGACCAAAGATTAAAGATTATCTAGGTCCAAACCCCCTGCCATGGACAGGACTAGACCAGGTTGCAACTTGGCCTTGAATACTTCCAGGAATAAGGCAGCCACAGCCACTGGGTAACCTGATGCAGTGCCTTTCAACAGTCAAACGTAAATCATGAGGCAATACTAGAGAGCCTTCCTTATTGCATGTTACTTATCTAATATTAGTGTCTGGAGTCTCCAAACAAATAAGGCGCTCCAGCTATCCAATAAAGGCAATATCTTTTCCACCCAGCTCACAATAGAGGATGACAAAATACAGATGGCGATAAATGTCAGAGTGGTGTTAAGAGATTGAGGCAATAAATAATTTTGAACAGTAATGAATCATCTCAACTTGCCAGCTCTCTAGTCTTTGATTGCCTGGCTGTGCACTGCGGGCACCAAACCAGAAGGAACTCTTACAGGATGATCTGTGGGGAAGAAAAGAGGGTAGCCTTTGGATTCTGACAGAGCACCTTCCCTACGAAGAAGGCTGTAAGCAGAGACCAGAATTAAAAAATTAAGAGAGTAAATATCTCACATCACCTGGCTGCACAAACTGATGTCACAAACATATAAGCAAAGTGAATTAAAATCGATGGGAACAAGAAATCTGTGTTCACTGTGATGGATAAAGGACAGATGAATGGGAGAAAGCAGAAGATTGACTAGAGTGTGTCAACAAGAACGATGAGTCAGGAAGATGATCTTACCTCTGTCATGGAGAAAAGCTCATAAAATAAAATCAAATAATAACAGCAGCAGTGCAGATTCAGCAATAGCACTAGTGCAGGTGGTTACAGTGAGGTAATGTTTTCATTATCTGTTCTCACTAAATATCCAAAGCAAGAATGACATTCTTTTGGAAAAAGAAAGTGAAAAATATCATGCTGGAAGGTAACTCCCTGCAAACCACGGAGATGAGCAGCACAATGTGGCTTCTAGAAAAACCTTGATTACATAGACAGTGAAGAACAATGGTGACATGATGTTCTACAGAATCTGCTTGGGTTCTGCTAGACCTCAGCTAACTCCAGCAAGGCTTCAAGAGTGTCTCTTCACTCCTTGTATCGCATGGGATGGATGGTCTCTGGCTTTGTGCTCTAAGTTGGTTAACACGACACAGAAAATGTGTCTCTGCAGAACCTCCAGTAGATGTGAGTTGACTCTGCATGAACCTATTTGATGAAAGCTACTTTTTGCATTTATAAAGCCCGAGATACACCAGGATAAGTGCTGGTTTGGCACATAGTCACAGCTTAGTAGCTAAGCTGCATAAAATTTAAACCCACATAGTGTTTCAGAGTTGAGCTGCTCACTGGAGATATGAAAACCTATGTTTGAACTTGTAAACTCAGGAGGTCCCAAGCTGTATTCCTATGGTTAGATCTGCATTTTTTGCATTTTGGGCCCAGTTAATCTTCAACCTGGTTACAGCACTCATTGACAACCAAGGGTTCCAGCACTGTCAGCTGCCCCAGTGCTCCCTGCAGATGTTATTTTGCTGCTGGGGGCTATTGGCACAAAGGGAAGATGAAATCTGAAATTGAAGCTTGAAGCCAACTACGCTATTGTCACAGCTTGAATTAGAAAGGTGTTTGTGAAAACATGAGAAACAAGCAGTGTGTGCTTTGCAAGGCAGGCATTTTGAGGCATGAGAAAATTTTCCCTGATTCTTCCAGGGGTAAATCTGACACGACTGGGGTGGAGTTAAATTGCTTTTTGGGGTTGCATCATGTTTTCTGGTTTTACAAACAAGAAAAGCCTGACTCATTACAGATTATCCTATTCAAGCATCTATTAGATGAAGCAGAAAGGAACAGCACATTTTTGACCTATTTTTTATTGATTTTGTGATGGTGAAGAATGAGAGACTCTGAAGGTGACTGATTCTTACTGATTATTTATTAATCCTAACAGTGAATGTAGATGCTATTGTATATCGCTATTACCTATAAATCCTGGAATACAAATTGGAATGTACAAAACCTGAATGACAAGGATTTGCAAAATGAGCCTCAGTTTTGGATTACTTTAATTATAATTGCAATATTGTAGGCGGTAGCTGAGGTATTGCAGAAGCAGTACAGTATGCATCGGTACTGACAGTGGGAGGTTCATGACAGCGATATACATTGAGTACAGCTGATATAGCATATCAGCTTGCATTTTTCTAGGTTTAAAGTCAAAAGGATATTTATTTAATAAATAAGGCAACTATTTAATCATAGTAGAAGATTTCTCTAGTACTTATCAATCCTTGGACACAGTATAAACTGTACCGATTATATCAGTTTGCTCTACTGGAGGAAATATAAGGTCAGATATGCCCTGCTTGAATGAGGCTTTTTCAGTAGCATTCCCAACTGGTCACAGAACCACCCCAAGAGGCATAAACAGCACTACCAGACAGATGCAAATTTGATCCACTTACACGAGCTGCTACATCTCAAGCTAGATGAGAAAGGCAGTAATTACACTAGGCTGCATTAAACACAACCTTAGCAGTGTCAAGTGAGGTTATCATGACCCTTAAATGTTGTGTATTGTGCTGAATTCAGATCAGCATCATGATCCAGAAAATGAAAAGTTATACACTAGGCATATTTTTATTAGCTCACTGGATACACAGATAGCTTCTATACTTGTCCTATACATAGACCTTAGGATTATTCCACACACTCTACCTGCTTTAATTTTCATGCTGACTATAGGTTGGTTTGACCTGAGAAATGAGGTTACAACTCAATAATGTATGCCATCTTACTGGGGAAGATTTAAGACAGAAAGGAAAAGAGAAAGCTATCTGCATTTGGTATACAAATGGAATGCTTTGTTTTAAAAGTCATTCCGAATGGAATACTTTCTTTTGAAAGCTATTCCTCCCTGCTGGACAGTTGAAGGCAACAGAGTACAGCAGTGGTTACGGTGTTTCAAGATCATATAGGTGTTATGGAAAGTAAAATTGAAGATGTTATCAAAAGTGGACTTTCACAATGTTAGCCACTTCCACAGATTCCCACAATTTCCAAAGCAAATCCCCTCCTTTTCAAAATCTGATGTCTCAGTTCCCTCCCTTAACTTGTCACTGCACTCTTAGGACAAGGAACATGAAATACACTGTGCTTTTACAGGCTTTCATAGGCTTACCCATGCTCTTGGGTTGAAAGTCCCCGTCAGTCTGCTAGACAGATAAAGCTTGAAAATGCACTTCCCATGATCCACACAATTCATTATTTAGCTTTGACACTTTCAGCTTGGACAAGGTGGTTTATGCCACTAGGTAGTCTGCCCAACACAGTCTTTCAGGTTCTTATGTGCTAATGACGTGCTGGTTAAACTGACAACATTGGCAACAGTATCCTGTAATAGATTGTTTTGTTTGGGATACTGATACCCAAAGAAGACAGGAAAATACCTGCTTGTTCCAAGTTAAACAACAGCTGGAGGAGTAAACAGATATAAGCAACAAGTCATTGAAAATAAAGAACAGAACAGATTCCCATAAAAGCCACTTCCACATACGAACAGGACCCAGGAATCCTGTAGATCACTGGTGTGACTCATCAATGTGAATAAGAACCACTACCCTATGAAAATGAGGGTTTGTCAGAGGTTAGGAGGTGGGGAAGAGAACAAGACACCTAAACTTCCCTTCCACATTTGAAACTTAAGGTCACAAATTCACTCTGGTAAGATATTTGTCAGAGATGAAAGAATAATATTACTGAAACACATACTTTTACAAAAGCAAGATTGGATGAGTTATTACTGGAAGGATGAAGAAACAGAATACATAGAAAGTGTGTTATTCATTTACACCATTCTACGAGAGTGGATGATGCAGGTGGTATCACTGTCCTATAGAGTCCACTACAAGAGCAAAGCCCAAACTTGTAGAATACATGCAGGCAAGACAGAGGGAAAGAAACTCAGAGTAACGTTATGTAGTTGCCTCATTTAACACTGGATGTGCATAAAAGAACCCTAAAAGAAGTGGGGTTCGAGGAAGCATCTGAAAGAATTGGAATGTTCTAGCTTTCTTAATGCTGCTACCAGCTGATAGGGCTTTCAGTCCAGAAAGGTGCTGTGGGTGTCATAGATATAACAATGTACCTGTGTGATTTTCAGATTCTGGGAAAAGAGTGGATTCATTTTAACAAAACTTCCAGTTTAATTTAAATCTTCCAGATTTGTTTGCTTTTTTCTTTTCTAAAAACACAAGGCTGAAATTTACAGTTTAAGTCCAGCCCCTTCATGCCACAGCCCGAGTAGCAGTGTGTTAAGTGTCCAAATATTTGCATGCGCATAGATAGTATTATATACAGGAGATATTTCAGGTGTTCAACAGGTCACACCTGTAACTCCTAGTTACTCCTGATGCTTTCAGTTCCACCTGCCAGAAGACAGACTGTCCAGAGCTTAATCATCCTTTGCAAAGCATACTTTTGCAATGGCGAAATACCAGGAACAAACTTTACCCTTTGATCATAA